TTTTTTTTTTTTTTAAATAAATTTATTTATTTATTTTTGGCTGCGTTGGGTCTTTGTTGTGGCACGTGGGCTTTTCGTTGTGGTGGCTTCTTTTGTTGCGGAGCATGGGCTCTAGATGTGCGGACTTCAGTAGTTGTGGCTCGCGGGCTCAGTAGTTGTGGCTGACGGGCTCTAGAGCGCAGGTTCAGTAGTTGTGGCACACGGGCTTAGTTGCTCCGCGGCATGTGGGATTTTCCTGGACCAGGGCTCGAACCTGTGTCCCCTGCATTGGCAGGTGGATTCTTAACCACTGCTCCATCAGGGAAGTCCCTGTAATTCTTTTTTTTAAATGTAATTTAAAAACTCCAGCAACCTAAGTGTCCATCAACAGATGAGTGGATAAAGAAGATGTGGTACATATATACAATGGAATATTACTCAGCCATTAAAAAGAATGAAAATTTGCCATTTGGAGCAACATGGATGGACTTGGAGGGCAGTAAGCTAAGTGAAATAAGTCAGACAGAGAAAGACAAATACTGTATGATACCACTTATATGTGGAATCTAAAAGATACAACAAAGTAGTGAGTAGAACAAAAAAGAAAGTCTCACAGATATAGAGACCAGCTAGTGGTTACCAGTGGTGAGGGAGGGAGGGGCAATATAGGGGTGAGGGAGGAGGAGGCCCAGGCTCTTGGGTGTAAGATGGGCTCAAGGATGTATTGTACAACGTGGGGGAATACAGTCAATATCTTGTGATAACTATAAATGGAAAGTAACATTTAAAATTTGTATAAAAAAGTTAAAAATTTTTTAAAATAAAAAATGAATTTTACTCATTAAAAACCCCAAAACCTCTAGGGTATTTTGGGTATTAACTTCTTCTAAATAAACTTTAACATCCCATTGTCAAAACCCTCCCCCCAGTCTCGACTAAGTGATAAAAATCACATAGGAATTTTCATTGAAATTTCTTCAAATATTTGTATGAATTTTGAGAGAATTGCCATCTTTACACTTTGGAGTATTCCCATATAGAAATATTAATAGCTTTCCATTTATTCATTTATCCATATCCTTCCCCCACCCACCCAGGACTAGAATACCAGAAAAACACCAGAAAAAGTAGTTGATGTGAGTTTTGGTGACATATTATATAAAAATGCATATTTTTAAATACTCTAGAATCATATTAGTGCTGTGAGTTGCTCCCACTAGAAGAACACGTGAACCAAGATCATATGTTCACCACATCCGTCACGGGCTTTTGAATGCATGTGCTCATTGAGGGAAATAGCACATTTATTTATTAATCGGACAAAGTGCCTCATTCTGGTGACTTAGTTACTGTCTGGAAGCCCCAAGCCCACCTTCTCTACCCAGCTGCTCTGTGGCACAGGGGCCAGGACTCTGAAGACTACATTTCCCAGGCTTCCTTGCTCGCTGGCCTCCAATTAGGTTCTAACTAAGGAAGGTCGGAGGAGGGAAGGGGGCTTCCATCCTGTTTCCACCTTCTGCTGGCAGTTGTGGCTCCAACCCCAGCCCTTTCGAAGCCCAACAGCACGTGCGCCAGCCCTTGCAAGTCCTGGCACCAGACGGCCGTGCTCGCCTCAGTGGTCTGGGATGGGCTATATGGGCCTCTCCTCTGAGTGTCTGAATTTTGGTAACCCCGTCTTTCCCCTTCTGCTCCCCTAGTCCAAGGGTGACCTCTTACTGCATCCCTTTCTGCTCTCTCAACCATCCCATTACTGTAGAACCAATTTGGTGTATGAAACTGCCTCTGTGTGAGAAACGAGCACGGCTACCTTTTTCCTGAATGGGATTCTAACCGGTTCCGTATGGCTACACTCATGGAAATTAAAAATGCTCAGGATGTCAGACAAAGTACGATGCTGCAGCGTTACACTTTGGGGTAGTTTCAAAATTACCCAATGAAATTTTTTCGAAAGATGCACGATAGATATTCCCCTTAAGAACCGTGATGCTCAATGCACCGGGAAAGGGAGAAAGAAAGGAAGCAGGGGTCCGAGGATGAAGGACGTTGTACTCTGTTCCAGCCTCGCCCCACCTGTCCAAACTCAGCTTATTTGCATCAAAGCGTTGTCATCTGCTTAAGCTTTAGTCATTGCAGATAAATTTACCTCTCTGACTTTAATCCCCTTAGTTAGATCCAAATATTGACAAATGTCACCTCTCTTATATAGTATGTAGGGTAATCTACTTAAATTTATGAAGAGGCATTCAAAAATTTTAAATACGTTGCAGGTTAATTAAATCTCTGTCCTGAAAAAAATTGAGAAAGCCCACGGCCGATGATACAATGTTAGTGTTTTTGGCTAATCAAAATTTTAAAGGAGGATAATACTAATAATAACAATCAAACCTAATATTTATTGAGCCCTTAATATGCCAGGCACTATGCTTTGAACTTTACATATATTGTATCCATCAGTTTTTTGTTTTTAATTTTATTTATTTATTTTTTGGCTGCGTTGGGTCTTCATTGCTGCACACGGGCTTTCTCTAGTTGCGGCGAGCAGGGGCTTCTCTTCGTTGTGGTGCACAGGCTTCTCATCGTGGTGGCTTTTCTTGTTGCAGAGCACGGGCTCTAGGTGCACGGGCTTCAGTAGTTGTGGCACACGGGCTCAGTAGTTGTAGCTTGTGGACTCAGTAGTTGTGGCACATGGGCTTAGTTGCTCCGCGGCTTGTGGGACCTTCCCGGACCAGGGATTGAACCCGTGTCCCCTGCATTGGCAGGCAGATTCTTACCGCTGCGCCACCAGGGAAGTCCCTATCCATCAGTTTTTATTACAACATATAAAGTACCGATGCAATAGCAACTATTATTATTCTCATTTTCCAGATGAGAAAACCATTAAGTAATTGGCCTAAGTTCACACAGGCTGTAAAGTAAATAATTATAATATTAACTATTAGATATAGATTAAATTTAAAATGTTGGGAAAGGCTTGAAAACTCTGACCCTAAAAAGGTAAACTGTGAGAAAGAGCCCAAGGTCCTAGTAGCACATATTTGGGGGATTAGGATTTAAATTAGATTACAGTGTAATGAAATTTGATGACTATTTTGTATCCTAAATTTAAATTTACTTATTATTCTCCATCAAAGAAGCAGCATAATGTGGTCACATTAGATGCCAAGGTACAATCTAGGCTCTGTCAACATAAGATGTGTGACCTTGGGTTCTCACTTCTGTGGGAGAGACAATAACCCACCTATGCCATAGGGCTGCTGTAGAGGCAGAATGAGACAACCATATAAAGCACGCCGTGCTCTCATATAATTTCTATAACTGTGAACAATGATTGGAGGAAGAGTAAGAACAATTCTTTAGCTCACTAAAATATCCAGATATTCAAGAAGCAGGGTGGTCTCTGAAACAAAGACTTTCTCCCCAGCATTATTCGTGAATTTCAGAGTAGTTCCGTCTTACTGGGTAAAAAAAATAATAATATAAGTTGGATATCATATAGTATATGAATGTTTTATTCTAAGAATTATTTAGAGAGTAACCTAACCAACCAGCAGAACTGGGAGGTGATTAAGATAGAAGCTTTTAAATAAAATGAACAGTAAGACAGATAATTACCTTTAAAATACATTGTTAAGTGAAAAAAGGCAAGATATAGACTAGTGTGAGGTATATGCTGCTACTATCTGGGTAAAAAGGGGAATGAATATATATTTGCTTGAATATGTGCAAAATACCCCTGCAGGGAGATGCAAATATTGGTTCTATTGATTTTCTCCGGAAAGGAGAACTGACTGGCTATTTTTTTTTTATTTCATTTATTTATTTATTTATTTGTTTATTTATTTATTTATTTATGGCTGCTGGGTCTTCTTTTCTGTGCGTGGGCTTTCTCTAGTTGCGGCGAGCGGGGGCTACTCTTCATCGCGGTGCGCGGGCCTCTCACTGTCGCGGCCTCTCTTGTTGCGAAGCACAAGCTCCAGACGCGCAGGCTCCGTAGTTGTGGCTCACGGGCCTAGTTGCTCCGCGGCACGTGGGATCTTCCCGGACCGGGGCACGAACCCGTGTCCCCTGCATTGGCAGGCGGATTCTCAACCACTGCGCCACCAGGGAAGCCCCTGACTGGCTATTGAATAGCAAGGGGAGAGAGGCTGGTCACTGTATGTCTTTTTATAACTTTTGAATTTTGAGCCATAGGAATATATTATCTATTGAAAAACTAATGTAAAATAAAGAAAAAAAATTTAAACATTAAGGAAGTAGAAGAAAACTAACATTACTGGGTGCCAATTATGTGCCAGATAAGAAAGGTGGAATTTTTTAAAAATTACGGTAAAACAGACATAAAATTCTCCATTTAACCCTTTTTTTTTTTTTTTTTTTTTTTTTTTTTTTTTTTTGCGGTACGCGGGCCTCTCGCTGCTGTGGCCTCTCCCGTTGCCGAGCACAGGCTCCGCACGCGCAGGCTCAGCGGCCATGGCTTACGGGCCCAGCCGCTCCGCGGCATGTGGGATCTTCCCGGACCGGGGCACGAACCTGCGTCCCGTGCATCGGCAGGCGGACTCTCAACCACTGCGCCACCAGGGAAGCCCCCATTCAACCCTTTTTAAGTGTACAGTTCCTGTGGCATTAAGTACGTTCCCATTACTGTGCTACCATCAACACTACCCAGCCCCAGAATTATTTCATCCTCCCAAACTGAAAGCCTTACAGGAAGCTGGATTTTGTAAACTCCCTCCTTCAAATAATCCTACGTGGGCTCGATGAGAAGACAGTCTCAGGAAGATGAAATAATTTGCCTGGGACGACACAGAAGACCGGCCTCTGCTCTTCCCTACCCCTTGAAATCCTCTGGGCGGTGGGAGGGAATTAACTCCTGGGATTGGGGTTGGGGTGAGGGTGGGTGGAGGCTGACTTCAGGCCCGGGGCCTCCTGCTGGGTCATCTGGTCCCAAGCACTCGTGCTACAAGTTCTTTTAGGAAACTTGACAAGTCGTGCCATGGTAACCCGTTGGTTATAAAAAAGCATTTGACTCATTGCTACCAGAGAAAGTTGAATTGTCCATTCAAAGTGGACTCTGCAGAATGGATGGTGAACATCCATCATCGTTGTGAAAACGTCCCCCACGCCCGGTGCCTAGACGTGCCTTAGAGTTGGTTCAGTGTGGATAGATTTATGGGCCATCACGTCAGGAAGTTATTATTCAAAGGGCACCTGCGGAACGGTACAGCACAACAAAAATGGGGGGAAAGAATGACTCTTCTCCACGGATGGGAGGAAATTTCTAGCAGGGTAAGCCAAGCTGAACCCATCTAACAACCAAGAATCAGTTTGATCTTATCGTTGGGCAATAGAAAACAGAGAACTGAACTGAGAAGCCTGCCGGAGTATCTACCTTTTTAATGAAATGCATGATTAAATGGCCCACAGTTACGCTGACCCTGGTGCACATTCTTTCCTCATGATGCTGTGATGGGAGTTATTGCTTTCCACACTCTCCTTCCCTTTGGTCTCACTGGCCATCACTCCCATGTCTGTGAGAAGTGGTTCGCATTTTTGTTCTCGTGTGGTTACTCAATAGCGTTGAACACACTGTAACACCATCCAGTCATCCACGTTGTTCTTGGATGCCCACTCCTTTTTTGAGAATCAAAATGTGCATTAGGAATTGAGGACACTTTATGTTTGATTGTGTTCATGTTTGTTTAATTCTCCTCCCCTTGTCTCACCACATTCAATTTCGAGAACAAAAATAAAAGCTGCTCATCAACTATACTTCAATTTTAAAAGATTGGAATTTTGGGGGGAGAAAAAAGATGCTGATAATGTCTATAGACAAAACACCTTCGTAATTTTTTAAAATCACATTTCACAACGTACAGGAGTCCAGAGCCAGTAATTTGAAAGTCTGGTCCTACATCATCCGAAATGGCAAGATAGTGAATCTTCTGGAAAAAAAAAATGGGGGGGTACATTTCTTCATTTGGGGTTCCTATTTCTTTTTTTTTTTTTTTTAACAAATTTATTTATTTTTTTGGCTGAGGCACTCAGCTTGTGGGACCTCAGTTCCCCAAACAGGGATTGAACCCAGGCCGTGACAGTGAAAGCGCCGAGTCCTAACCCCTAGACCGCCAGGGAACTCCCTGGGCTCCTATTTCAAAGGACAGAAAGGGAGGCTGTTACCTGTATCCCAATGGACAGGCATCGATTCTTCTTGAAGTGGTCCTTCTTCCTGTCCTCTGCAGTGATGGTGGCCATGGCGGTGGTGGTGGTGGTGATGGTGGCAGCATTGTTGCCCATGTGTTGACTTGCTGGGCCATGGATCTGGGCATTGGCGGCTTCGATGGCGGCTGTCAGAGCCTTCATACTGTCCAGGCTCTCCGTGGAGTTGCTCAGTCCAGACTGGCTGATAATATCCCCTCGCTGGCCCTGTCCATCCATGTAGGCGTCCTGGGCCGACTCTGTGCTACTCTGGGCTGTGATAGAAATGAAAGGTTTCGTGGTAGTTCTGGGTGGGACTGGAGGTGGTGTCTTCTTATATGTTGTAATGCAAGATGACACTGGAAGACAGCGAAAACAAAGACACTGATTTCTGCATGGGTTTTAATTGTCAATATTGTAACTGACATCCATTGGAAATTAGGGCCCACGAAACACACCAAGACATTGAATGTGAAGACAGGTCTGTTGATAGACTAAGTGAGATCCCTCCTTAGGAGGCATATTTGGGCCTCCTCTAAGGCGACACCCTCATACGACTGAGGGGGAAGGAGACTGAAAAACACTGATCTCTGAGATGGAAGTTTCTAAAATGGAGATTAATATGAACTGACATAAAACAGACAGGACTAGCCATCTGTAGAAATCTTCCCGGGCAACAGGGCACCCTGAGAGATAATGTATAACACGGAAAAGACCTGGGAAATCTTTGCCTTCTCAGGGAAATATTAACCACAGCTAATGCTGAACAAAGTAACTCATTGGAGAAGATTCTGGGGGTCAATAAAGAACATTGAAAAAAAGAAGAAAGCAAAGAGGTTGTGAGCCTGCGTGTTCTAATCCTAAGAACAGGGCAAAGTGCCCGTGGGGGAGGGGGAGGGGGAGGGGGAGGGGAGGGGGAGGGAGCAGGGCGCCGGTGCGGGGGGCTGAGCTCAACCCACTGTCTTAACTTCTTACACCTTGCTTTTATCTTCATTCCGTTTCTCCTCCCTCCTTTTCTTTTTCTTTCTTTCTCTTCCTTCCTTCCTCCCTCCCTCCCTCTTTCCTTCCTTCCTTCCTCTTTCTGGGTATGTGCTCACTCTATAAACTTTAGTTCTGAATTGTGTTGCTGTTTCCGAGCAGATCCGTCCTCTGAGAGGGAGGAAACCACACACACGTCTCCTACTGTAAAATAAATGTACCCGCTAGTTGGGAGATCAGCCTGCGTGTGGCCTGTAGGAACCCACTCCCCAAAGTGCTGTCCTTCAGGGCGACGTGATCAGCCCAAGGTTCTGCACAGTGAGGCGCCCCTTTTGGAGGTTCCCACTGGAGCAGCCTGCAGCCCCTGTCTGCAAACATCTGAGGGTAAACCCAGGGTCTTGAAGAAGCTGTACACACTGCTTCTCAGCATTCCACATCTGTGGAGCACAATGCAGTAAAACACAGATTGAAGAGAATGAAATTTCCACGTGGGAACCGCCCCCTGGTAAAGAATGATTCCTTAACCAGCTTTCTAAAGACTTTTGTTGAGTCCCCTTAAAAAATGGTTCAAACTATTGTGTTTCCATCACTTTCTCCCCCACCTCATTCCCAGCCCCAGCCTCAGCCTTTCCTTTTGGGACTGTTGTTAACACCAGATCAAATAGTCCTGACTACACAATGCTAGCTAGTTACCCATGGTTCTAGTTGTCACTCGCTGAATGAAATACTCACTTCGATATTCAGGGTGTTTCCTGAGGTCGCTCAAAAAAATCATCCTATAATGAACAATGAACAGAAGGATCGCATTTCTCTGCCCTGCTGTTCCACTGCCCTGTGATTTGGTGTAATTTCCTTAACCATAAAAGATGGGGACAGAAATGTTTGGCTACTTCCCAGGGCTTGCCCAAGAGTTGAAGGAAAAGAAACGCACAGATGTCACATTACAGTATCACATGTGCTCTGGAGGTGAGGGTAGCCTGAATAATAGAAATGCAGCCTCCTCTCCGTTACCTGGGACTGGCAGAGTCTCCCCCAGGAAAACCTTCCATCTCAGCTGTGCGTGAATCACACATCTTTAAATAGGAACAGAGCTCAGCGGTACGCACTCCAAACTCCGCAGCTTTTAGCTAACGAGCCTGGGACCAGCAGAGGGAAGCTCACAGCGCCGGCGGAGGCAGAGCTGGAGCAGGACCAGCCCGGGCTCAGGTTATCCCACCAGCCACAGGGAAGCCAAGGGATGCAGACAGGCGCACCGCTGATGTTTCCCCTCCCTTGATTGAGTTTCATGCACTGTAACCACTGAGGAGCTACTTTCCGCTTCCCAGGAAATTTGAAGGGGAAAATGCTCGGTGTCAATTACTCAGCTGCACACCCGAGTGGGTGGGCCGGGGAGGGACCATCATTAGGATAGAATCAATCTATCTATTCGAATCTAAGAAACTAGATCATTTTATGACTTCTCCTACAATGTGAACTCATTACAGTAAGTCCCCTACATTGCGAACTTTCAAAGATGTGACCGTGCCAGCTGTTGTGCTGTACTACTGTACTTTTCAAGGTACGGTACTGTAAGAATAAAAATGTTTTCTTTATTTTTTGTGCTTGTTTTTTTTAGTGTATTATTTGTGTGAAAAGTATTATAACCCTATTACAGTACAGTACGACATAGCCGATTGTGTTAACTGGATACCTAGGCTAACTTTGTTGGACTTATGAACAACTGGACTTATGAATGCACTCTCGGAACAGAACTCGTTCCTGTGTAGGGGACTCGAAATGGGTTCTCAGGACATTCAGCCCACCTATATTCCACAGAAATTAAGTGTCACTTTCCAACATCAAATGTCTGATTCTTTGGATTGTTCACTGCTCCTTGTGAGCTATCCCCAGTTTCCTTCTTGGGTGTGGATAATCAAAACCGGACAACGCGGCCAAATACAGTATCGTATAATTTGCTGTGATTTACAGCACGATGTGGTACCTATGATTGGGGGCTGGGGGTGTCACCTTATTTCCAGTGTGATGTCGGGGTTGGCTACGCACCCCCTGGGGCCAAATGCAATTTGGCGCCATCTGGTGGCTGTTATCATTTCCTCTTCGATATCAATAGGGATAATTCTGGGGACTTGGATCGCCGGGGACTTTCAGGACAGCAGCAGCAATGCTAGGCATCCACTAGGGTTAGACTGGACAGGGAGGACCCTGGGGACATGGCTTCCTCAACAGGCTGGCCCAGCCCCAATGCCCAAAGGAGGTAAGAATTTGAGATGGCTCACTCTGAATTAGGGGACCATCCGCCATGGGGTTACATCCCAGGGGCTTTACTATGAGATTTTACTGGTGTTTAGAGCTTGGCACAATTCTGCCAGGGCCATCGGAGTCAAAGAAGCACCACCTGTCAGTCATCAAATAGGAATTTTAAAGGAATTCAAATCTTTAAGATTACACTTTGAGGGCGAAGAAAGGAGACCCAACACACAACTCACACTTCTCGCAATTCCCTTCCCCCTCATGCCCCAGTTCTTGTGCATTTGAGGCTGCTCCAAACACTCAGACAACTAAATCCCCCAATTTTCCCAGCATCACGCTTTCTTAGTTTTGCAGGCTAAGCCTAAACACTTCTCTTCTCTCTTTGTTGTTGTTGTTTTGTTTTTAAAATTCTACTCTCGTGATTCAGCACCACGAATGATTTAGAATGCACTGAGGTCTGGGCTTCCCTGGTGGCGCAGTGGTTGAGAGTCCGCCTGCCGATGCAGGGGACACGGGTTCGTGCCCCGGTCCGGGAAGATCCCACATGCCGCGGAGCGGCTGGGCCCGTGAGCCATGGCCGCTGAGCCTGCGCGTCTGGAGCCTGTGCTCCGCAACGGGAGAGGCCACAACCGTGAGTGGCCCGCGTACCGCAAAAAAAAAAAAAAAAAAAAAAGAATGCACTGAGGTCTGAGCACCAGGAAGCATGTGGTAGAGTGGGGCCCAAGGACGGTGAAACACAAGTTAATAAATCTTGTCTGGTCAAGACAGAAACAAAAATGAGGGGCTTACATGCAGTAAGGGAAACACTTCGCTTGTTTAAGAGGAACATTCTCAAAAACACTGATTAAAAAATGCAAGTGCTCCTTTTACTCAAGTGGAACTCGAAAAAGAAATGATGCTGTTGGTTTAATCATTATTACCGCTTTCCTTTGTTTATTTGTTCATATCAGATACATTGACTTTTTCCTCCTTTGGGTTCTGGTGATGTGCTATCCCAGAGCAAAGTTGGCTGAAAAGTCTCCTATCCATTTACAAGAAGAGTCAGCAGGAACAGGTTTCCAGATCTCACTGTCATTACTTTCATTCACATAATAGTGCAATGCAGCAAGAGACCAGAGATCGGTGAATTAAGAAAAAAAATTTTTAAAAGAAGAACTTATGGAGAAAAACAAATGAGAACAAATTCCTACCCTGTTTCAGTTTGTAGCTGATTCTTCAATATTTTCTCCATTTGCATAGAAAGATAATGCTGTTGTTAGTCTCAGAAAGACCAGAGCCAGGGATTACTTTTGTCTGGGGTGGTGAAGGATTTCTGGAAAACTACCTGGACTCTCTTTTCACTCCGGTTATCCTATGTATGTCAGCTGGACACAAAACAGATGTAGGAGCAAACCTACTTTTTATTTCTTCTTATTAATATGGACTTACTGGTTGAGCGAATGGGTCACACACTCTAAAGCTATGTTGAGGAATTATTTAGCAGTTCCTGGTTGCCGAACGTTAGAAACGCTTTCAGATACGAGAACAAGCCCATAAGGAACTACAAATAAAAACACAAAAGATCAACAGAAGAATTCCAAAATGTACAAGTACAGGGCTGACTTTGTAGGTGTAAACGAGCTGTCCTACGTTGTTCTTAACCACAAAGCAGGCTGTGACTTGATCTGCTTTTACTAGTAAGAGCAACTTTGGATTTGCAGTGAGTCGTATCAGATGGTCTGCTCTTGCTGAGTCCAGACCACCAGAGAGAGAAAGGCTGCCTGGAACGGTCTAGTTTCGGTCTAGTTTCTATCGAGGACAAAGGTCTCCCGATTTGTGTGATTTGGTCCAGCTGAACAGGAGGTTAACAAGCCCTCAAAAGGAAGTGCTTTATTGGAAAAGAGATTTAAAAAGTGGAATGGGGCTAACAGTGGGGTGCTGGAACTGGCTCTTATCAGCTGGCTAGATTCAACTGTGCAAATCCCTCCCCAAGTCTGTGTTCAGTGACATTTCCTTGCTAGCTTGAAACTGACCTTGGTTTGAGTGTTTACACCACAGGAATTGGCAGGTGCTGTGACTCAGTAGGTATCCCCCCCAGAGAGCTGGTTGTTAAGCATTTCCAGCACACCTACCACACAGACCGGGTGCTATACAAAGTGTAACCCACAGACAGGTTTGGATTCACAAAGTATCTGATGAGTGCACCGTGAGATAGGTCATGAAAACACCCAGAGGGAGCGTTTAGAAACTTTATAGCAATTCTACAGAGATTCTGTCGTTGAATCCATTAGAAAGATGACGGCTTGTCTTTTGCATGTTTTTGTTTTTTTAATTTCTTTCTTCTAGTAATTCATTTTTATGGCATTTTACCAAAATGTTGACCTGCAACAGATTTGACATCCAATAAGAAAACAAACTGTCCATCACCAGAGATAGTTTGAGAAGCACTGATTTTGGAACGTTCGCAAATCCAGGGGACAGGGCAGTGGTATCGCACGTGAGATTGAGAGACTAGAGAGGTAACTTGAAACTACAGCCTACTTTAGAAAGCAAAACGATATGGAGAGGCCAAAGGAAAGAAATGTGGGAGGACCTAAACTTGGGACATAAAGGGAGGACTGCACAAATCCAGGACGGGAAGAGTAGACTTGTGGTTTTAACGTCAGGTAAGTTGTCTGTTTCTATGAAGGTGTGTCTGCATAGATGTGTGATATCTAGAATGAGGGAAGGATTGCCTTGCCGCCTTCCTGCCCTCCCTTTAAGGGGAAATCACAGGGTTCTCTGAGGACCATGTCTTATAAGGAATGGTTTAGAAGAGAGGGTGTTTCGTTTGCAAGAGAAGGTAGTCGGAGGGGTTTCCCATTATTTCGAAGGCTATTGTGTAAAGGATGGCATGGACTCAGGCCGTATGAGGCCCGCAGGGAAACCACAAAAGGAAAAGCTCAGAGAGGCATAAAGAATACTTTTCTAGGAGTCGGTCGTCCAAGGATGGAATATGGGGCCCTCGCTGGGGAGTGAGCTCTCTGTCTGAGAAGTAGGGACCCACTGACAAGGATGCTAAGAGAGGAGGCCAGGGAGAGTTACCAGCAGGCTGTTGGTAGCAGTGAGGGATGTTCTGGCATCCTGGGAGCACATATTGGCACCGATGAAGACAAAACTCTTAATCGAGAAGTTTGCTGCTGCCACTTCCGGGCAAGCAGGCCCAGAAGTGCTGAATTTACAATGAACGGTGGAGATCATCGTCCCCGGGGTGACATGCTCCCCAGTCTGGACTGCCCCATCAAACGCCAGACAAATCTGTGATCTAGCTGGAGTCCTTCACATGATAAAAGCACAAACCCAGGTGAAAACAAAGTTGATGAGATGGAGAATGAGTCCAGACGCTTCACCTGCCCTTAGATCAACTCAATCACCGGAGAGTCCATCTTTCCTCCGTAGCACACGCTGTGCTAAGAATTTAATAGACAGGACTTCCCTGGTGCCCCAGTGGTTAAGAATCCGCCTGCAAAATCAGGGGACACGGGTTCGATCCCTGGTCCGGGAAGACCCCACATGCCGCGGAGCAACTGAGCCTGTGTGCCACAACTACTGAGCCTGTGCTCTAGAGCCCGTGAGCCACAACTACTAAGCCCGCTGCGACAACTCCTGAAGCCCTCGCACCTACAGCCCATGCTCCGCAACAAGAGAAGCCACCGCAACGAGAAGCCCATGCACCGCAACGAAGAGTGGCCCCTGCTGGCCGCAACTAGAGAAAGCCCGAGAGCAGCAGACAAGACCCAATGCAGCCAAAAATAATTAATTAAAAAAATAATTTAATAGACATGGTCTCACGACCCAGATAGATCTCACTAAACCCATTTGTTTGATGGTAAGACTGAGGCTCAGGGTAGGTAACTGACTTCTCTAAGTCATGCTGCTCCTAGATGTTCACACGGCTTCCAATCCCACCTCTTCTGTTCATGCAAATCGCCTGTATTCATCCGCATAGTAAGCCTTCCCTGAAACACCGCGTCCAGTAGAAGATAACGCTCTCCACGAGGAATTCCAGGAAACTGCTCCTAGCTCAGTCCTCTGGGAGTCCTTTGACCCAGAGGACTGAGCTAGGAGCGCAAAGGTCTGGAGGATGAATGCATTTGGAGTGGTCAGCAAGGGGTGCCCAGCTGCAACTTGAAAAATTTTGCAAGAGGAGAGAAACTCCATGAAACAAAATACACATGGAAAAATCGCTCCTTTTTTTCAAAATATTTACAGCTTAACATTTACAGGCCACCCAAAGTGTGGTGGTCAGCGGTCCGCAGCCTGCTGGCCCCATGGTGAGGCGTCGGTGATCAGAGGGCTGCGGGGACTGCGCGCAGGGCTCCTGGGGAGGGGGGGGGGGCAGGGCTTCTGCTGGCCTCTGTCCTGGTTAGTTTTGGCTCCAGGTACGTGGCTATGGGACTGATTACCACCAGAGCCATCCGCCACGGAAACCACAGAAACGAGCTAACCTTTCCTCCCTCGAAGTAGAGAAAAGCAGGCTTGTGTACGGGTGGAGGGGGGCGGAGAGGGATGTGGACAGAGAGGGAGGGGTGGTGTAAGAACTCTTGTAGTCATAAGGCTCGCCAGTTGGTAGTTACTAGTATTCCAGACGCTTCCTAATGCCAGACAAATGCCCGGAGCCCAGGCTTGTCTGGCTCAGAGATCTATTCAGCCGATAGCAGCCCGGCCCTGGTGGGGAGAGCAGATCTTTCAGGGAGCAGCCTCCATGGCTAATCAAACACAACATTGTTCTCAGAAGGAAGAATGGAAAGGTTTGTTTCAGGAGCATAGCTTTTTTTTTTTTTTTTCCTTTTGAGGCACCCGAGTTATTTTAACAAGTTGCTACAAAACTTGGGCTTCCTGAGGCGAGGCTGTCCTGCACAGTGCATGTTCTGTCCCAAACTCCAGGGAGGGAGGGACCCGAAAATTAGTCATTAAAAAAAAAAAAAAAGCCCCAGGCACTTCATGCCTGGAAATGATGTAAGACGCAGCCACTCCTCTGTTAGAACTACAACCAAACAATGCTCGGCGATCGCGGCAGCTGCTCTCCAAATGTCAGCGCCAAGCCCGGCCAAAGGGCTGGAAGGCCACCGAGCCCAGGACTTTGTGCGCTACCTTTGTCGCCCACATTTTCCCCAAGCACTCTCAGGACCCTGGCAACAGGTAACGTGGCAACCTTTGCCTTCTAAAACGGCAAGCGGCAGGATTTCAGAGAACAAAAGGATTTTTTGAAAGCCAGCTGCATCTCCCTCGCCACCCCCTACCCCCCCCTCTCCCCCCCCCCCCCCCCCTCCCCCACCCCAAGTATGAGAAAACAAAGTATTGCTGCGGCAGCCCGGCTCTCGAGCGCCCCCTGATGACCAAGCTCGGAACATCACCGATGTACCTTTCAAGGTACAACTTAAGTCCGAGGCTCCCAGGTAAGTCACGCTGGGACGCGGGACGTCTGGGCTGCGTTTGCCCAAAAAACGCAGAGTGGAAGTCAAGAGTCAGAAGTCTTGCTTTTTAATTTATCACCTCAACAAAAATTTTACCCGTGCTGCATGGTAAGATCTCTGGGTTGAGGTTGCTGACCTTTTTTTTTTTTTCCAAAGCATCCGCTAGGGCAACAGTTTTTGTTTCCTTGGCAAGCTGAAAAGCAAAAACTGCTGTGGCCATTTGGTTAGGTGGATGGCAGTGAGGATGAATAGGCAGGAAACTGAGGATTCCTGGTGGGTGGGACTTACATTTTCCGTTTTTATCTGAATTTGTCGGTTGTTTGCAGGAAGCTTGCAGGTAGAAGCATTTCTAATTCCCATCGCTTGTTTCCAGTTAGTTGATTTTCAAGGATGACTGAGGATTTCCAAACTGCAGGCCCAGCTTCCCAGAGAGCGTGCTTTGCAGCCCCACCCTAGCTCTTTTATCTCTGTCTGGGGCAAACACCCACGAAAATGCCAAGGGCAGTAGTTTTAACCAGTCTTCTTCCTCTCAGGGCTTCTCCCGCCCTCCGTGGTCTCTGATTTGGAGGAAGGACTACAGTTGTGAGCTGCTGGTAGCTTCTGCCAGGCGTGAGGGCATCCCTCTTTGTTCCTCTCTGGAAATGTTAACCAGAAACTAAGAAAAGGGTTTAGATCAAAGTAACCGTTCTCTTCAAAAAGTTCCATTAATTAACTAAATTAAAGGAAGTTAAGTGCTGTTTGGAGGAAAGTCATTTTAGAAGGCCCAGGTCCAGGGACGGAGGTCTAAAGCCTCTATGAGAACCTTTAATGAAGCTTGGCAACCAGTTAATATGAGAATTTGAGGGTTACCCTGTGTAAAACCAGTTGTTGCCTAAAATCAGTCATTTCAAAGGAACATCTTGAAAGTAGACAGACATGCGGCTGGTTGTTGCCTTGATCATTTCATAGTAAAGATTAAAAACTGAGGACTCTGAGTAAGAATCATTTGACCGGTAGCTCAGGTGAGTCATAACCTTCATAGAACTAGGCACAAAGGTTCACAGCAGGATGTTGAGAACGCCTGGCTTACTAATTTGCGAGGCGGGGCCGTTGCTTCCAGCAGGGAATGCCTTCATGATTTCATGGCTCATTTTCCCAGCCTCTCCAACAGATGCTACTGAGTCATCCAAGCACACAAGTGACTGCCCTGGCAGTGTCATCTGTTAGGATTAAATTTCCATTTGTTCCATGACTTTATGAAGCAATTTCTAACGATTGAATCAGATATACCACTTCCTCTAGGATCTAGGGATTTTTTTTTTTTCTTTTTTAATGTTTGTAACATTATGTGAATTTTTCAGAATTTGTCCCAGCCAAGTCAGCAGGTCTTCCTGGGTTGAATGGACTATTTACAGGAGGGGAAGATTCAGGACCCAAGGTCAGGGTTACAGAATGAAATAAGGTTTCCTGTTTGGGCAGCTGGTCCCACCTCCTCAGGTTCGGGCAGACTGGGTCTTGTTGGAAGATAACAGGCCTGGGATACCTGGGGTAGGGATGGTGCCAGGAGTGGGGAAGGACATTTTGCTTTTAAGCTTCTCATCAGCTAGCTTTCATTTCTTGTTAGATGTCACTCCTTAGCAATACTTGCCTCTATTCCCTGTTAGGTGAAATTTTTTATTTTTTCCGGACCAAACTGAGAGAAAGGAATTAGTTAAGGATGTAAGAATCACAAGGTCAGGCATTGTTGTCCGTTGTATTCATGACAACCACAGTACTTAGACCGTGCGTGGCACATAGTCGTATGGTGGTAAATACTTGTTACGTGAAGGAAGGAACAGGGACGAGAAGGGATTTCCTGGAGAAGCAGAAAAAGGGACTAATAATTAGGAAAGCAAAGTCACCAGGGTAGAAAGAAAATGAACACTCAGCAAAGCCAGTCTCTGTGACCTTGGATGTTGCAACATAATCTCCCATCACTGATGCCCACCTCTGTTTGGCCTTGGTCAGTTGCTGGCCGAATGCAGCAGTGATTGGCCAGCTTTTGACGTGGAGCTAGAATGTGAAAGGCCCACCTCGTATTAGCTGGAAGCAGTTAGTCCTTTGGATTATCCACTTAGCTTCCTCCACCCTCTCTGCTGGGCTTTATCCTTGTGGGGCTGTGATGCTCACTGCCCTTTCCCCAGAGCAGCTGCCTTTCCTCCTCCGTTCCTTCCACTCCTTATTATTCTTTGACTTCTTATTCCTGGTCTCATTTCATGACACCTGTACCATGGACCTAGAAAGCAAGGGAAACCTGGAATGCAATCACACAGCCCAGCAGGACTCTCTGCCGTGGGGCCGTGTCTGGGACACACAGCGGAGCTCAGGGGGTACAGAGCTCTGAGGCCAGGTGGAGTGGCTGACTGGCTCCAGGTGGGAGCAGGGTCTCGGGCACACACTGCCCACTGGTCTCCCTTGAAACGGTGAGCTGGCCATGCAGAGCGAGGGTGCTGTGTCCAATCCCAGTGAGGTCATGTCTCATGGTGGTCCGTTGGGCTGAGTCCTCACTGAAACCTCTGGCTGGATCGATCAGGAGCCTCTGCTCTCTGGCCAACACCCTGGGCTTCGGAGAGAAGGCAGACCTTGTGTCAGAGCAGCTGACGCTGCTGCCCTGTGGACAGAGGGCTTGGCAGGCTGGCTCCATCTGGAGCAGAAGCTTTTGCATCAGACAAACTGGGGGAAACAGGATATATGAGGAAGCAAAGAAGAAAGAAAATGTATCCAGCATGTCTTGCTGTCAGTTGGAGGGCGATGAGAAATAATTACCTGTATCTGGAGAGCAAGGCATGTAAGGGGGCCTGATCTGTGCAGTGAGACAGTTAATTATTCGTCCGACTCCTTTCCGCTTTCCTCTCTGAAACCCCCCTCCTCAAAGGAAAAACAGGACAGACTTTTTCAGTTAAGCTGTGGAATACCGTCTACCAGCCCGCTGGGCCCAGAAAGGACACCAGCCCCTTACTGACTTTCAGATGACAGGATCAGTGCTTCAAAATGACACCTCATTATCCAACTGTGTCACTGACAGATGAGGACACAGGTCCAGAGAAGAACTTGGCCGGGGCCCCCCAGTCTTCTTCAGTCTGTACCACACAGCAAACACCATCAGCCTTTACAGTGGGTTCGTAAAGGCCACTTCAGACTGCATTCACAATTCCACTGTACAGTTGGGTTTTGGTTATTTGCCAGGATTAAATAAAAATATCAAGGAATCCTACACTGTTGGTGGGAATGTAAATTAGTACAACCGCTATGGAGAACAGTATGGAGTTCCCTGAAGAAACTAAAAATAGAACTACCGTATCACCCAGCAATCCCACTCCTGGGCATATATCCAGAGAAAACCATAAAAAAATCAAAAAGACACACGCACCCCAATGTTCATTGCAACACTATTTACAATAGCCAAGATATGAGGCAACCTAAATGTCCATCAACAGAGGAATGGATAAAGAAGATGTGGTATGTATATGCTATGGAATACTACTCAGCCGTTAAAAAGAACGAAATAATGCCATTTGCAGCAACATGGATGGACCTAGAGATTGTCATACTGAGTGAAGTAAGCCAGAGAAAGACAAATGCCACGTGATATCACTTATATGTGGAACCTTTTTTTTTTTTTTTTGGCCATGCCACATGGCTGGTGAGATCTTAGTTCCCTGACCAGGGATTGAACCCGGGCCCACAGAAGTGAAAGCACGGAGTCTTAACCTCTGGACCACCAGGGAATTCCCTGTGGAATCTAATTTTTCAAAAGTGACACAAATGAACTTATTTACAAAACAGAAACAGACTTACGGTTATCGAAAACAAACTTAAGTTTACCAAAGAGGAAACGTGGTGGGGAGGGATGAATCAGGAGTTTGAGATGAACGTACCCACGCTACTATATATATAAGATAGATAACCAACAAGGGCCTACTGTATAGCACAGGGAACTCTACTCAATATTCTGTGATAACCTATAGGGAAAAGAATCTGAAAAGAATGAACATATGTATATGTATAACTAATTCACTTTGCCGTACACCTGAAACTAACACAACGTTGTAAATCAACTCTACTCCAATAAAATGTTTTTAAAAATCCCAGCAAACTGGTGAGGCCAGCACTAAAATCTACCAGTTTACTCTAGCTACTGCCCACGGCATCCTCATTCACTGTGTTTCCTGGAGCCAGGTGCCTGGACCTATTATCCCAGCTCCACAAGTGACTGGAGGCAAGAGAGTTTGGGTTGCCCACCTTCTGCAGAGTGGGGTCCGATTGGAACCTGGGTTCTTCTCATCTAAGCCTCCGTTCTCTTCTTTTAAAGAGCTGCCTTATATTTCTGTCATTAAGGTTCTCCTTTGAACCCTCATGAGAGCAATGTCCAGAAGCCTTTTTCTGAATCTCTTGGTCAAACGTGCTTGGAATTCAGAACTTTTTGGATTGTAGAAAGCTGATTTGCATGACATACCCTGGGGGGCCTGGGTACTCTAACCCGTCTGTCTGCAGGAAAAGGTGAAACAGTCACACTGCAAGTAGCTGCAAGGTCAGGTTTTGGCCTATGGCTTTCAGAGCGCTGAAGGATGGTGGCCACCCACTCCTTCAGGTGCCTCGGTACATCAGAGCCCGCGCCCCCCCCCCCCCTCCCGCCAGGGACCTCCTCCTCCAGGGCATCTCTGGTCCTGGATGGAGCTCTGGCCCAGCCTGGCCCAGGAGGAGAATGGGGGATGGGCAGTGACTGGGTGGTGGTGGGCTTGGCCTGGTGGGTGGGCAAGGTTTCTACATCTTTAAGGAAAAGAGGAATCCGATTTCAAATTTGATAATACTTCTGACAGTGTCTCTCTTTCCTCGACCGTGTGAGTTCTGGGTGTTCATTGGTTTGTCACTGTGTTTCACACACCATTGGCAGAAACACCTTTGTTGGTTTTTGTTATAATGGTAACAGGGGTACTTGTAGGGGCTTTTAACTGGCCTCTTCCCACAGTGTGGAATGCTGTCTATAAAAATTACAGAATTAGTAGTCTGAAGATAAACGCTTGGAGGTAAACACTTCGTATCTGCCAGGTTGTGTGCTTGTGTGTGTGTGTGTGTGTGTGTGTGTGTGTGTGTGTGTGTGTGTGTTTTGAGCCATCCCTTCCATCATTCTCTCCCCCATTCTCATCCTGTACCCTAAAGCTATGATCTGACTTCACAGCCAAAGAGATAAAAGTAACATTCTTCTCCTTGGCCCACCATACTTTGGACTGACAGGAGGGTGATTCCACGCTAGGTCCAGGCTGGCTGCAGCCCAGGACACGCACCTAAAAGTTGATCCCTAAGGGCATTCCTCATTCATTAAAGCTCTACCCAGGGCACAGCTGGAAAATCATTTTCAGATCACAAGTTTTTATCCCACATTTCCAATCCAAGAGATAACAGACAGACTCCATGTAAAATAGCTTGAATTAAAGAATAAACCGTTGTGTGGCTGGACATGTCCATGAACTGCAGGCAGAAATAGATCAAGCACTAGAAATTTTTTTTTTCTTTTAATCTAGAACAAGCCCCGCACTGCCTCCTGGTGTGGATTACACTTTACTTTTCGAAAGGAACCATGGATAGTAAAGCGAAATCATTTTGATTCTTTTGGATTTCTACTGTCGTAGGTGAAAGGTTTTATTCATCAATTCTTTGAAAAACCAGCTATACCCACTGCAAACCTACCAAATGAGAGGATGTTAAGCTGTTCAGTGGGTTGTACGTTTGGGGCCTTGTTTGGAATTTCAAGCTCATGTTACGGGACTGGCCCGTGGTTGCAATTTACACCGTTTATCAGTAGGATTGCTGAAGTGCTGAGGTGCCAGAATGCGGAAACACTGGAGGAGACCCGCGCTGGTCTTTGGATCAACATTAATTACCAATAAAGAGTTAGGAAATTGATCACAGGGAAGGGAAGCATGTTAATGGCCACCGCTCAAAGGTTCAGCCCCGTTCAGTTACTGATAACCTTGCGACGTCTCCAGATAAAAGCCAGCCTTGTCACCCCCAGGCACCTGGCTGAGAGGTAATAAAACTGTTGCCTTATCTTCTAAGAGTGGAGTTGGTCCAACCTCAGTCCGAGGTAATTACAGTAAACTGAAATTGCCTGTCATTTACAAAAAAGGGAAGGCGTAAGGCGGGAGATGGTGTTTGTCTCTCTCCTTGGATTTTAAAAAGAAAGCAAGCAAAACAGCCAGAAGTTTTCCAGGGAGTGAGAAAAACAGCCCGGCTTGGCCACCCTCTCCTGGGGGTAACGGATTGCAGGCGGCTCAGGTCCCCGTGACGATCTGAAAGAGAGGCTCACGCTGATGAAAATCCAAGCAATCTTCTTAGTCTGTCCTTTCTAAATGTAAATGACAGAGTCGGAGCCCTGCTAGGGAGGGCAGGAAGTCTCAGTCTTACCCAGTGACTCATTCAGTGCTGTTAGCTCCAGAAGCTGGATAAAAAGTTTTAGCAAAAGCAGCAACAAATCTACTTTAAATACTAGCACAGTAAGGAAATTCCTCTCTTTCAGGCCGAATGCCATCCACACAATAGAGCTCCTGTCGACATCTCATTTACAATCTACCCCCAGGACACAGACAGGACCATTTCCATAAACCCGGCTCAGAAACACCTATTGTTCAAAATCTTCAACTAGCCACAGGCTACCACCACTCCCTATTGTTTTGTAAAATAAAAGATTTCGAAGGAGCCAGATTGGGACCTGGAAGCTCTGAAAAGAGGAAGGAAAAAAGTCCCTTTGACCCGATGCTGTTGGAGAACGTGCTTGAAGAATAAAGTTAATGGATTTTCATTTTTACAAGAAGTGCATAAGCAACGCCCGCTCCCTTCCTGAACTCGTGATCGGGGATTCTGAAAGCAGTGCCAACGGGTTTGGTACCTGAAAAGTCAAAGGCTCTACTTACCCTATTCTCTGTCTTACAAAAGCCCTGATGGCAGCCACAGCAAAGCACCAGGTGAGTATTCGATCTGGGTTGTTTCCTTGGGATTTATAGCTTGACTCTCCTTTCTAAGTAGGATTTTGAGGCTTGCTGCAGAACCTACCCCCTGCCCGAGGACGAATGGTTTCCTCCTTTTCAACACCACCATTTTGCTCCCTCTTAGTAAAACCTGGCCACTTTCTGGAATTACATAATGTAGCCTTTAGACGCTTTTTCTTCAGATAATCCTCAAATGAAGAGGTACATTTGTGTTGACCAAACAAAATGGGCATTTCTCAAAGACTCAGTGTCTACCCTCCGAGTAGATCTTCAAGTTCACTTTCCCTATCTTAGCAAGTAACTCCTTTTTCTACCCAGAGTTCAAGCCACAGCTCTGGGCATCACCTCTAATTCCTTTGGGTCCTTCCCTCCTATCTCTTAAATCCTTCTGGAATCCTTCCACATCCTACAATCCACCTTTCTGCTTCCCTAGATCCTAATATTTCCTCTCTGGAAGATGACAGCAACTTCCTACCTCAGCGTTCCTCAAGCTACCTGTTGTGACTTCTTAACGGGTCATGAAATCAGTTGAGGTGGGTCATACAGTTTCACCATTAAAAAAAACACAACGGAATAGATTAGAAAACGTCAGAGTGCATCAAACAAAGGAAGAGTAAATTTGGTTTCCGGACGCTTGTGTCAGTGTGTGTCCCGAGATCTGTGTACCTTCTGGGTTAACAGGTAGAATGTATCTTGTCTGTCAGGAGTTTGAGAAATACTTTTCTAATTGGTCTCACGGGCTCTGTCTTGTCCCTGGCTCCAAACTTATACACGCTCAGAGCAGGAGGGGGAGATTATGAACGGAACCGGCTGACAGCTCTGCCCTCGGGATAAAGACGTGGGTCTGGGGCTTTGGAGATTCTAATTACTTAGTTCCTCCTCATCCTTTCAGGTTTCAGAACTCTACGTCCTCCCGACCACTTTTCCTTTTAGCTGTTCAAGCCACCAAGTTCCCTGGCCTTTGCAGAGGGAATTTCCCTATAGGAACGTTCTGTCCTCTTTCTCCTTCAGGTATCAGCTGAGGTGTCGCCTTTTCCAGGAAGCCTTCCGGAAGTCCCTCTAAATGCCTCCTCTTAGTTCTCATGAAAACGCCTGACTTTTTTTTTTTTTTTTTTTTGCGGTACGCGGGCCTCTCACTGTTGTGGCCTCTCCCGTTGCGGAGCACAGGCTCCGGACGCGCAGGCTCAGCT